TAACACAGCAGGAATGTGGCTAATGAAAAGGGAGGAAGTACTAAACCAGCAGGGAATCAGTGAGGAGGAGGAGCCTATGAATATTATGATTCCCTACCTCTACTTCCAAAACATTGGTCTACAATTTTTTAGAAGTCATCTGCTTCAGAGATAAAATATGCTATTTATTACATATTTTGATGTGCCGAATTCAAATACAGTGGTGCCTCACTAGACGATGATAATCCATTCTACTGAAATCGCTGTTTAGCGAAATCATTGTCTAGCGAAAAGCATTTCCCCATTGGAATGCATTGAAACCTGTTTAATGTGTTCCAATGGGGAAGAATCGTCATTGTCTAGTGAAGATCGGCCATAGGAAAGCCGCTTTGCGAACCGCCGAGCAGCTGTTTAAATAGCTGTCTTGCGAAGCTTACGTCCCAAAAACACCCATTTTGCAAGTGCAGAGGGAGCTATCAAAATTGTTGTCTAGTGAAAATCAGTTTGCGAAGCAGGGACCAAACATTGTCCAGCGAAATCCCCCCATAGGAATCACTGTTATGCGAATCGCTATAGCGATTGCAAAAAGTCAATGTCTAGCAAAAAAAACCTGTCATGCAGGGTAACTGTCTAGCGAGGCACCATTGTATGACAATTAAAACAACTGATTTGCTACTGTTTCTAAGATATGTAAGTTTTTATGTTTTACATCTATGTATTGGACATGGCTGGATTTAATTTTTAAGGGGAACCTCTACCTTTTTATATTGTGTAGAGATAATCTAAGCATTGCTAAACATCCAGAAGGGCTTTGGGCTTGAATTTTTTCCAGCAAGAATCTCAACAGATGTAGAGGAAACTGGCTTGGAAACTCCCCTCACTTTGAAAAATACTCTAGAATGCAGCAAGTTTGCCCACTGCTCATTACATAAGAACTTATTTAATCACGCTTCTTGTCCCCTCAAAAAAAAATCTTTAAAAGTTTGCAATTCTGTGAGAAGGATTGCAGGGTAGACAATGTTCCCGCCAGAGTGCCATCCCTCCTCCATGGAGCAAGTGGTGAGCCCAGGATCCCTGAGACTGAGAGGAAAACCCCTTCAACAGAGAACCAAGAGCAGAACAACAAAGAAAAAATACTAGTGATGATGGTGGAGGCAGTAGTAGAACATACAGAGAAGTTAAGAGTCTACAACAGTGATGGCAAACCTTTTTGATCCTGAGTGCCCAAACTGGGGGGGGGGGGACACCAGCAGGCAGCAGGTGGTGGCAGTGGTGGCAATGGAAGTGGTGGTGGAAGGGGGAATCCTGGGCACGAAGGTGCCTCCAGACCCCACTCTGGGTCCACCTCCAGTCGTGCCCAAAACCACCACTGCCTATAGCTCAGCTGGCCCACCAGCGCCAGCTGCTCCGGATCCTGGCCCGCCTCTTGTAGAGGTGCTAGCACTGCAGCCACCTCCTCAGGTGTGGATGCCAGAGGTTGGGATCCAGTGACTTATGGCTCACGCACCCACAGAGAGGCCTCTGCATGCCAGCTGTGGCACACATGTCATAGGTTTGCCATCGCTGGTCTAGGAGAACAGATGACAGGTCCAGAACAGGGAATGAGTGACAGAAAACCAGAAATGACAGGACAAAAAGGGGTGGAGCCTGAGTCAGTTGGGAAAGGTGGGGGCAAAAGAAAACGGGGGAGGGAAGGAAGGGAAGAGTGAAGGAAGAGGAAGAAAAAGGTTGGTGGAAGAGGGGGAAGCCGAATTGTGTAAGTGTGGTAAAATCCTTCCCCCGGGATGGGAATTGATCTGGTTAGAAAATCCCCAGACAAAGAAATGGTAACGGCTCACGGTGCTGACAGGAGATGGAGAGAGGCAGTGCCAGTGTAGCCTTCTTATTAGGGTGAGAAGAGGCTTGAGAGTGGGCAAGGAAGATCAGGGTGGAGAGAGCCTGGCTGGGCAAGGAAAGGAGAGAAGGAGGTAGATGGCAGCAGCCCTCAGAAACAACAATACCAAACACCCCAATGCTTCAAAATACTCAGGAATAGGATTTAACAGGTCTATGCCAAGGGCATCTAGAGGGAGTGGAGTGCCCTTGCTGTCAGTTCCACAAGATGCCACATTAATGGACTTCTCCTTGGATAAAAGTTTTGAATTGTTGGACTTTAATGTTTCAAACCCATTTCAGAAACCAGAAACTAACCCCTTCCTCATATCATTGTGTGAGGAAGAGAAGTTACATATTCCTGTCACTACTGAAAGTTTCCTGTTGGTACAATCCAGGGTCAAGAGTTGTGTGTTGCTAGATGTAGAAGTAAAGGGGGGAAAAACCTTCTCAAGATAACAAACCCTCACAAATTCATTTGCTATAAAAAATTATCATCCTTTCTAGAGAGAGATAATTTAAGAGCCAAAACAGACCTGCCATTAGAGCCTGATCAACTAGAAATAACCACATCAGTGAAGCTCCTTGAAAAGAAATCCAACAATTGCAGGCACTTGCACAGATGCGTCTGTATTCATCAGTTGTGAAGAAGGTAGTATAAGCTAATGACAATTCAAATCCAAAACCAAAGTGTGAATTTGTACAACTTTCCAGCAACATGTTAGTAGCAGAACTGCTTGGATATTTGCATTAAATCCAGAAATTAGCATAAAAGGCTACCATCATTCAAAGAAAATGAAAATCTGAAAGATTGTACTAACTGAATCTATTCATTTTGTGTATATCTAAAATTTTTCAAAGAAGCTTCTCATATATATCAATTGGATCAAATGAAACTGGCATATAAGCCAATGCTGAAAAGTAACATGAAGATTTAACAAGGTGCCAAGGTAACAAGCCACCAGCAGACAAAAACTTTGGTTACTTATACTTACTTGATAATAAACAAAACAGTATAATATACTATAAGATACATGTAAAATCTAGATAAGTGACTTTAAAGCAGTAGGGGTAGGAGGATCAAACATAGCTTTTGTATTCTTTGGGTTGTTTCAGTTCACTGCACTTGCCTATAATCATCCTTACCCTTTTTCCAAAGGTAAGAGCCAAATTAATATTGTAAATAAAATTCTAATGTACTGGTAAGCAGATTATTTTTAGAGAAGGCATTCCAGGTACAGAAGATAACATGACATGCTTGGAAAATAGAAGACTGTTTGTAGACCATTTTGCGCAACATAGATCAGACACAGTAAAAACCAGACCAAAGTGCTGATGTAACATAACAGAGACAACTTGAGACAAAAGAGTTTCCTTGAAATGAAAGAGATGGGGAAAAAAAGAACTGTAGATTTAGTTATTTGAAATAAGGAATGTGAATTATTGTCATCTGCTCTAACCATTACAAAATACTTTCTTGGCCCAAAGAAAGATCAGTAAGCAAATAAAGGAGCTAGAATTCATCAGGAAAAGAAACGGCACTAAAGCCTTATGAAGAAAACTCTTGTTTTAGTTCAATAGCTCTGGCAAAAAAGAGTACAAAAATATAACAATACAAGAGTACAAAAATAACTACAAATGTAACAATAATAATTTAAGGATACAGCTCTAGAGGTGAATAACCGTTTCCCCCCTCGATACGCAAAGAAGTAGTTGTGCTAGTTCATCTCAGCATGTTGGCAGAAAGAAAGGAAGGAAGACAAAATATTGGGGCACTTTAATATTTATTTAAGTGTGAGCTTTCTTTTTTCAAATGCTTCTCTAAAATGTATAACTATCTGAAGACTCAAATGAGCACTTATCACCCCCCTACTACAAAGAGAGCAAGACAGCATTATTAAAAACATAAATTCAATACAAAAATCCTTTGCAGTCAGATTCATTTGAAGAAACTGGCAACAATCTTTGGAAGCTTATGTCAAACAAACATTGGTCTTTAAAATGCACAAGACTTGTTTCTGCTACAAAAATTCTTGAATACTTCTTCCTTTGCAGTTGTTTGGGACAGCAAGTCCTGTGAAATATTTCCGTAACAGAGCCCTGCAGGAAATCATACATACTTCGCCTAAAGTAACTAAGGAATCAATACTAAAATAGACTCATTCTAAGGATAGAGGACTGAACCTCTGAGCTGGAAGCTCAAACGGAAACTCGGCTATAATAAGACCAGCTCTAAAACCACCGCCGCCGCCGCCTCTGCCACATACATCAACTGCCTCGCCTGCCATCCCTTGCACTCTTTGACAGTTGATCGCATCCTCCCCTTTTTCTTTCCAATTACGGCGCCTCATTCTCCCCTGACCCGGTATGAACCACGCACCACCAGCAGCAGCACCCTAGCTAGCCAGCCAGCCAGCCGTCCCCCCCCGCTCCTCCCCGCTTCTTCTTCACGCTCTCTCGCGCCCTCCCCACGGGCGCGCAACACACCCAGACCCAGACCCAGCGCAGCCCCTTCCTCTCCGGCGACCCTCCCAGCCCCTCCCCCCTCGCGCGCTACTCCTCACATCCCCCTCCCCTCCAAGGACAGGCGCCACTTTCCATCATTCCTCGTCGGCGCCCTCTCACCACCACAAGTGGCAGCTGCTTAGTATATCACCCTTTAAATCATTATGTTTGGAATTGGTGAGAAAAATGAGGATAAGATTTCTTGAAAGTGATGGCCTTCAGTTTACACACACACACATACACACACACACACAGAGACACACACACTCTGACCCCATCTCGCCTTCTCTTTTCAGCAGAAGAATCCCCTGCTCCCCCTCAGGCCAACCCGCGCCACCACAACGACGACCCTCTTTTCTCCTCAAGGCACCCGCTTCGCCTCTCTTAAGCTCCCCTCGCCTTTGGCACTAAGGCCACGTTACATGGTCCCTTGCCTCTTCCACCCCAGCCCGCTTGCGGCCGTCCTCATCGCTTTCCCCCGGGGCACTTCCGAAGCCCGTTCCCGCTCTACGCGCCCCCTCCCCAGAGGATCCCCGGACCCCCCTCCCCCCGAGTCCTTCCTTCCTCGCTTCATCCGGCCCCACGCGCCTCAGCCTGCGGGAAGGACCGTTGCGGGGAGGGGGAGGGGAAACGACGGCTCTTACCGGTTCTCCGCAGCCACAGCACGCGGCGGAACGAACGGTGGGAAAAGAGCGGCGAAGGCTGGAGAAGGGCACGAAAGGCGCGCGAGGCAACAGCTCGCGGCAGGACTCGAGCGCGCGCCCCTGAGACAGCGGCGGCAGCAACAGCGCGCCGCCGTGGAAGGGGCGGCACACGTCAATCATCGCTCCGCCCCTTAAGGCGGAGGGGAGACGAAGGAGGTAAATACTGCACGGCGGCTGGAAATCCGGCGGCAGCAGCGGGTCAGCGCTGTGGGTAGCCTCGACGTCAACAGCTTTTCTGATTGGACAGGAAATCTTGAGAAGGTTGGAATGAAACGTTTGATTGAGGGAGCAATTTACCCAGTGATGAAAAGGGAAGATTCACTACCTAAACATGATTGGCAGCCGCTAATATCCTTAGAACGACTCTGATAGGCATCTGTCTTTACGAATGAAAAGACAAAAAAAAAAGCTCTCCGGATTATAGACTTCAAGTCCCATCAACCCCAATCAGTTCAGTCAATGATCAAGGATCCAGAGGATTGCAGTCCAAAATATCATGGAGAGCTGGCTTTGGAAAGGATAGAGGAGGGAAAAAAGCCACCACAGCCTCAATCATTCCATTGTGAAACCGAGCTCCCTGCAGGAGGGGACGGCTATATTTACCGGGGGCGGGATTTAGTGCGATACAGCCCAGTAGGCGTGGCACAACTCGTAACAGGCAGCTCCCGGAGCCAGTGATCGCTCCCCCCCCGGTTTGACACCTCTTTGGTCAGCGGGTCAGGGGACCGGCCTATCGGCGAAGCGTAGACGTTCGGTTACGTTTCGCCATCTCGCGGATTAAGCGGAGGCCTTCAACGCAGCGTTGGGATGAGCTGAATCCTCACGTCAGGGAGGGGGTCCCTCTTAGGGCAGCGGTGGCCGCTAGAAGCTCGGCCGGTGGGTAATCTACAAGCAGGGTCCTGAGGCGAATTATTCCTGGCGAGGGTGAGTAAGAGTAGACCCGGTGACCGTGGGCTTTCCTCCTCTTCCTCACCATTGGTACGCCCCAATAGATTTCTCTCTCCTCAGCTTTGCTGTGGTCGAAACCACTCAAAGGGTGGGTGGGGGGAATGGCGGCGGCGAAGGAGCAGCTCTGAAGTCGTTAAATAAAGCGCTGGAGGGAAGGGAGAGGGGGAAAGCCTTTCTGGTTTGGGGGATTCAGCCGCTAGTCGCTGCCTTCAAGGCGGCCTGGCATGCAGTAGGGAAAAAGGAAGCTTTCTCCATCTCGTAATCTCCTTCCTAAAATAATAAATACTAAATCTTTTTGTCACGCTGCTGTCGCAGGCGTATCTTTTTAAAAAGTGGGGTAGATGCCCCGCTTTTGTAGGTCTCGAGTATTTTTGTGGGGGAGACAGGGCACGATTTAAGAGGCTTGGAGCGCCCTCAAAACATCTCTTGTATGTTTTGTTTGGAATATTTATAAGGCGGTCTTTGCACTGTGGAGCTCAAGAAGGTGTAAATTTGAACAGTAACACAAAAAGCTGTTAAACAATCATTAAAATGGCTTTGTCCCATGTCTTCCGGCAGGCTAAACACTATAGACAGACCAACCTATTTATCCTTCCAAAACCTTCCTAAAATAGAAAATGGAACTAATGGCCCCTTTTGTCTCACGGTGTCTGTTATTTTACGTCAGCACTTTGGCCTGGTTTTTACTGTTTCCAGTCTGTGTTGCATAAAATAGTCTACAAACAGTTGGACAAGTACTCTATAAGTACACCTCAGTCATTTAAATCTTTTTGTCACCTGTCATCTACCATGGTTCTTCCTACAATGGCAATGTAGATGATATTTGTGAAGCCCAGCGCTTCATTCTTGTACTCCCAAAATGCTTAAGATTTCATGATGTCACATGGTAGCAATGAATTTCCAAATTTTCCATTATGTGTTATAAGAATAACAGGAAATAGTAAGACAGTAGCTAACATGACGGCAGAATTGCAGATGCTTTCTTGTATGCCATTATATGTGTCTGTAAAAAGAAACCACCTGAATGGGATATTTTGCTATAAATATTGTCTGTGATGCCATTGATTCTACCTGTTTTATGATGCATGGATACTACAGCACTGTGGGAGGAAATGCCTTATCTGATTTCATTTAGGAAGACATTTGTGAAGAGGAAGCAAAATGGGGAATCTTCTGATTTTGTGATGGCTGCCAGCACCTTTTATTATTAACCAGATATGGGGAATGGTGGGAGACTGTTGAGCTGTGGTTATATCAGGATGGGTTTGAATTCAATCATGGATTAAACTGGACTTTTTTGGTAGGGACACAGGAGAGGGCCTTCTCCATCACTGCTCTCAGACTCTGGAACTCCCTCCCATAGGAGGCCAGGCTGACTCCTTCTTTGCTGTCCTTCCGCAGGCAGGCAAAGACCTTTCTCTTCAGGCAAGCCTTCCCTCAGTGACTGGCTACCTGAGGTGGTTTTTAAATGGATTGTTCTGCCTTGTTGCTTTGCGTGTGTTATGGTATTGATGTTGTTCCCGTTTTTTTTAGGGTGGTATTTGTTTGATTTTTTAAAAAATATTTGTATACTTACTATTTTTAACTTTTAAATATTATCTTTTAATGAGGTAAGCTGCCTTGGGTCCTCTTTAAGGAACAAGGTGGGGTAAAAATATTTTAAATAAATAAACCATGTGATTTCTTTCTCCAAAAGTGCACACTTGCTTCGTATTTTTTAAGAATATCTCTACTGTACATTTTAAAAACCTGTTATTTTGGAAACCAGCTAAATTACTTCTGCAGATATGTAAGAAAATGTTTTTTAAAAGCAAAAACTGTTTTAATAGTTTAAAAAAATCAAGAAAGTCCAATTTAAATGTTTAAAGTTTAAATGTTGTTTTTTCATTATTGATTTTTATCCATTCTGTGTTGTGGTAAGCTTTAGAGAATTTTTAAAAATCTGTTTTTAAGGAGGGTTTTTATTCTGTAATGTTTCCAATAATGTCTTTCTATTATACTTTAGTGGAGTAGGAAAGCAACAAATATTTTAGATAAACTGTTTTAATATAGCATTAACATGCAGTTAAGAAATTTATTGTTATTATGTGCCAAAATATAATTTATGGGAGGTACAGCACGTTTAGGCTACAGTCCTAAGTGAGTAAAAATGCATTTAGGCTGCAGTTCCACATTGGTGCTATTTTTCAGCGAGGTGGTTAGGACATTCTTCCAAAACTATTAACCCCAAATTTGTTAAACTTACCATTGTGAATACTGTATGTCAACTTTAAAGACTCATTTTTTAAAAACTGAGCGCATAATGTAATTTAATACTATATCTTTTACAGATCTTATTCCCTCTATTTTTAGGACGCAACTTTTCTACTCTTACCAACCACCTCCTAAGGCTGTTTAAATGAGAATGTCCTTGGCGCAGAGAGTACTGCTCACATGGCTCTTCACCTTACTATTTCTGATCATGCTGGTGTTGAAACTGGATGAAAAAGCACCATGGAACTGGTTTCTAATATTTATCCCAGTTTGGATATTTGATACCATTCTTATAGGCATGATAATTGTAAAAATGGCTCGTCGTTGTAAGTCTGGCTTTGACCCTCGTAATGGCTCGCTCAATCTCAAGAAGAAAGCCTGGTACCTTGCAGCAATGCTGCTTAAGCTGGCCTTCTGCCTCGCTCTCTGTGCAAAATTGGAGCAAGTTGCTGTAATAAAGCTAGCTTATGTCTTTATTCCCCTTTGGGCTTTGCTCGTTGGAGGGATGATCGAACTTGGATACAACATCTTCTGTGGACAAAGGGACTAATTTTCTATAAACTGCGTTTTGGCAATTAACATCACATTCCTGAGCTTGCTATACGTTTACTGCATATAAAAGAACTACTGATACAGACTTACGTTGATGTTTATGCTGCTGGACTTAGTGCTTCAGTGTGTGAAGCATATCTGTCTGGCCCTCATGTAAATATTGTAAATAAAACTTATTTTCTATGCTTTTTTTGATGTTTAGGTCATGTGGAACATACATGTCTTTCAAAGAGTCAACAGGGGGTGGAAATGTATTTTGACACACAAGTTCCTTACATGGTATAATTGAGCTCTGTAACAGTAGTAACAGAAAGAACATCATTGAAGGGCAGATACACTTAGATATAGCTAGAGCAAAATAGGTAAAATTTGGAAAGATGTTGCATGAAAGTGTGCAGTCTGTCACAGAACTTCATTGTGTTTTCCCCTTTTTTACAAATGAAGTGGTTGATATCCTGTCTACAGCACCTTCATCAACAATTTTATAGAGCCAGGGAGATGCCCATAAAATTGCTTTGAAGATTAAACTGTGCTTGTGAGCTCCCAGCTGGCCACTTCTTGTGTATAGTATTGCTTGGGACAGTTGTTTACTTATTAGAGGTGTGTCTCTCCTGTGTTCTTAACTGTAATCCTAGAATTCTTCAAAACGTCTTCTGTTTTTTCTTGCACATTAGCTTTTCTACCTTTCACTTTCTGTTGTGGATCTGGGGTGGGATTGTTGTTGTGGTGGTGGTGGTTTTTTTTTAACTGCCTTAGTGTTTCTTGGGAGTCATAGTCTCCCTGCCTATGAGGCACTATAGAGCAGTGGTTCTTAACCCTGGGTTACTCAGGTGTTTTTGGACTGAAACTCCCAGAAGCCTTCACCACAAGCTGTGCTGGCTGGGATTTCTGGGAGTTGCAGTTCAAAAACACCTGAGTAACCCAAGGTTAAGAACCACTGCTATAGAGGATATCTTCCAAAGAACTGATTCCTAGGAAGTACTGAGTAGTTTTCTTGCTCTCTCTCTCTCTCTCTCTTTTGGCAAATCAGCAATATGAAGTAAAGGCTGGAGAAGCCAATGGTGCCAGTAAATTACCCAAGAATTCTGTGAACTGCAATCCAAAAAAACAAAACAGCACACTCCTATTTATCATTTTCAATGAAGTGATTGAAAAGAACTAAGTTTTGTTACAGCACCAACAGGGCTTTACAAAAGTTAGCATGTTCAGGGATCAGGAGCGTAGAAACGAAGGCCAAATATAAAGTCATGTGAAAAAGAAAGTACATACATTCATTGAGTTCTAAGATTTTACATATCAGAACATAATAAATCTCATCTAGACCTTAGCAGATCTGAAAATTAGGTAAATATAACCTTGGATGAACAATAACACATGACATATTACACAGTGTTATTATTATTTTACAAAAATAAAGCCAAAATGGAGTGGCCATGTGTGAAAAACAAACTACGCCCTTACTGCTTCCATAGGAGTTAAGAGGCTTAAGTAGCAGCTAGGTGCTGCTAACCAAATGCCCTTGAATAAATTGATCATCAGCAATTGTGACCCTCTCTATCAAAGCCAAAGTTTTAGCAGTTTGCTGATCTGGAGCATGCGGGTGTGTGTTAACACAATGCCAGGGAGGAAAAACATCAGCAATGATCATAGAGAAGCAATTTTTGCTGCCCATCCATCTGGGAAGGATTATAAGGTCATTTACAAACCCTTTAAAGTCTGTCATTCTACAGTGAGGAAGATGATTCACAAGTGGGAAACAGTGAGGATAGTTGCCGATCTTCCCAGAAATTGATGTTCAAGCAAATTCACCTAAAGGTCAGATGGTGCAATGCTCAGAGAAACTACAAAATATGAAGGGTTACATCTTAGACTTAACTGCCTCAGTTAGCATGTGAAATGTTCCAAGTTCATGACAATAAAATTAGCAGAAAAGTAAACAAGTATGATTTGTTTGGAAGGGTTGCCAGGAGAAAGCCTCTTCTCTCTTAAAAGAAGATATGGAGATGTTTGGCCATAATGCACCTCGTTTGACAAAAACCAAATGCAGCATATTGGCACAGATACCTCATACTAACTGTCAGGCACAGTGGTGGAGTGGTGATGATTTAGGCTTGTCTTTCTGCCCAAGTCCTGGACACCTTGTAGTCATTGAGTCAAGTATGAACTCCTCTATACACCAAAGTATTCTAGAGATGAATGTGAGGCCATCTGTCTGACAGTTCAAGCTTGGCTGAAACTGGGTCATGTAACAGGCCAATGATCTCAACCACACCAGCGAATCTACAACAGAATGGCTGAAAAAGAAAAGAATCAAGGTGTTGCAATGGCCCAAAGTCCAGACCTCAACCCAATTGAAATGCTGTGGCGAGACCTGAGGAGAGCTGTGCCCACAACTAGAGATGGGGTATTCGTATTTCTATACGAATATCCCCACTCAGCTGGAATTAACAAAGGCCCACTCACACATCTACTGCTGGCGGCCTTGCTTATCCTTCCAATCACTCCTGGAACGCCACTCTCTCCCCATTCGGCTGGCCACTCAGCAGCTGTGCAGGGAGACTCATCCCTCCCTCCCTTTGCATCTTGGCTAGTCCCCCTTCCAATCACTCCTGGAACGCCACTCTCTCCCCATTCGGCTGGCCACTCAGCAGCTGTGCAGGGAGACTCGTCCTCCCTCCCTTTGCCTAGTGGCTAGCCGAGCAGGAAGAGAGTGGGGCTCTGGGTTGGAAGGATGAGTGAGGTTGTCACCACCACTGGAGATGTGAGTAAACAGTCTGGCCCCATCTCTACCCACAACCTCAATGAAATGAAGCAACATTGTAAAGAAGAGTGGCTCAATATTCCTCCACAACGTGAGAGACTAATAAAGTCATTGAGAAATTATAATTTCAAGTTACTGCTGCTAAAGGTGGTTCTACAAGCTATTGAATCATAAGTTATACTTAATTTTTCACACATGGTTTCTCCATTTTGCCTTTTTGTTAAATCATGGCAGGGTGTAATATGTCATATGTTGTTTCTTCATCTATCCTAATTTTCAGACGTTCTAAGGACCAAATGATTTTTATTATGCCCTGATATGTATAAAACATAGCTTTTCAAGAGGGTGTACAGTGGGGCCCCACTAGACGATTACCCCGCAAAACAGGTAATCCACAGGACGATGACTTTTTGCGATCACTATAGCGATTCGCAAAATGGCTTTTCCTATGGGGGATTTCGCTGGACAATGACTTGTTCTGTGCTTCACAGACCATTTTTCGCAAGGCGACGATTTTTACAGGGGTTCGGCACTTCTGTTTTTCGCAAGAGCGATTTTACAGCTGATCAGCGCTTAGCAAAATGGCTTCCCTATGGCCGATTTTCACTGGACAACGATTTTTCCCCATTGGAACGATTAAATGGATTTCAATGCATTCCAATGGGGAAACACTTTTTGCAAGATGTTTTCGCAAAACAGCGATTTCAATGGAATGAATTAACATCGTCTTGCGGGGCACCACTGTACTTTCTTTTTCACATGACTGTAAAATTTTGTAGCTATACTATTTTCAACTGATTGAGCAAATAAACCTTAGACTTAAAAAAGCAGTAAACAAAGGTGTAGTGAAAACTAGTTGTTGGGTATATGTATGAAATTGGGAAAATAAAAGACCAGCAGATTCATTTTAAACATTTATATACCATCCAGTTAAAATGTTGCCAGAATGATAAAAGAATAAACCCTGTCAAAGGAAAATATTACAAATGTTACCTGCAGGCTGTGTTCTCAGGAGCAAACATCAAAGAAATGAGTTCACATTTACCACTTTCCAGATACAGTAGTGTGAAATCACAGATGTCTGAGACCTCGTTACCACTTTAGATTAAGCACTGTAAAACTTGCACAGAGGGAAAATCTTTCCAGTTCAGTTTGTCTTTGTAGTACTTGTAGTACCCTCTCCCCTCTCTTCAGGCTTTTCTTCTAAGGCAAAGTTGAGAGATTTAGTTATATTTTCTATTCTGTAACTATTATCAAGAAAAGACCAGGAGTGGGGACCACACAGCCCTCCAGACTACAACTTACAGTCCCCCAGCATTGGCTATACTATACGGTAGCTGCAGTGGATGACCATTTAACACTCCAGCATCTAGAGCCGCCATTTTCAATCTTTCTTTTTGTCACAGCCATAAACACATTATGAAATACAGGCTCAATCAGGGTTGTGTAAGTTACATAACAAACCTTGTAAGAGTGTGTGTGAAGAATTGTTTCCAGTCTAGGGCATATCACCCCCCATTGAGAATGACTGATCTGGAGCAGGGGTCAGGGAACTTTTTTACTTTTTACCCCCCATAAAATTTATTTACGTTGACATTACCCCACCCCCCGGCTCTTGCTGTCCACGGCCAACCCCTGCCCCTCCTGCGCTCGCCCGGGACCTGTGGCCATCGTCCAGGCAGCCAGTCTGGAGCTGCCACACCGCTAGGAAAGCACATACTTGGAGAGGGGAGGCGGGCACTGCAGGGCCAGCAGGTCCCCTGGCCATGAGCTCAGGGGAGGCGGGGTGGGAAGGGGGCCTCCTTGCCAGTGCACTGAGCAGGTGGGCGCAGGCAGGAAGGAGAGCCCCGGCCAGGGCTCCACCGGGCAAAGACTCCAGCTGGCCTGGTCCACTGCCCTCCCCCACACACACTTTGGAGGTGAGGAGGACAGGCAGGTGCCCTGTGCAGTTCCTCGCCAGGGCTCGCTCTCCCCGCGATGGAATGCCCACCTACACAAATCATTGTCAGAAATAAAATGCCTGGGGGTAAAATGCCTGCAACGACCATCCCCATTACCCCTAGGACTTTCATTTTTACCCCATTTGAGGTAATTTACCCGTCCCCTAACCACTGATCTAGAGGAACACATGTTCCCCATCCTTGATTTACATTTATCTAAACAGTTGTTTTAAATAAAGCTACTGTCTTTCCAGCAAGATTAATAAAGCATTTCAAGGTTTACAGTCTGAGCTATGCCATTTTCCCAGGTAGAGATGAAATTTGATTTGATCGACCCTATCTACCATGTCAGCATTTCAGCTCCCGCCACTGAATTCCTAGTTGGGACAATATGATGCAGTGTAGAAGTCTGCTGTGAGCTTCTTTTGATGGTGAAAATGTCATTGAAGGGCTGGAATTCTATTGTATATTTCTTCTGACATAACATTAGTATCGTAACTTTCTGCACTGAACAGCTACAAGTTTAATAGAGTAGGCATTTCCTACCAAGTCATGCAACTGGTGTGCAATAAGAAATGCCTACACCAACTTCTTTATTTATGGCAACTTGCTGCTGACAGTTATGCTGTTAGCATTGTGTCAGTAAGCATAATAAATAGGACTCTGGCCAGTTTCTACTGAATTATTCCTTCAATATTTAACAAATCAAATCTATCCAGTAATGTTATTTTCCATTCTATTTTGAACAGATTCTCAATTAAATTATTTATTTGATTTATACCCTGCCTATCTAGACCAAAGTCTACTCTGGGCAGCTAACAATAAGACATAAAAATAAAAGCAATATATTAAAATAAAGACAACATTAATAATATAAGTCAAGATGGCAAAGAATAATTAGTTGATGACAGGAGGGAAAGCCTGCCTAAAGAGCCAGGTCATAAGTTTGCTCCCTCACCCAGCGAGGGAGCCAGGCAGATCTCTGTGGGCAGACTGTTCCAGAGGTGAGGGGCCACTGCCGAGATGGCCCGATTTCTTATTCTTTCTTTCTGGGTCTCCCTCGTCATTAGGCCCCTCGGCCACCCATCCTGGCTAGAACAAATTATTCAGGTAGATCTAGGTGGGAGGAGGTGTTCCGCAAGATTTTGAGGTCCTAAACCATTTAGGGCTTTATATGTCATCATTAACACTTTGAAATCAATGCAGAAATGAACGGGCAGCTAAAGTGGGGTAAATATGCTGATATTTTCTCACCCCAGTGAGAAATCTGGTCGTAGCGTTCTGCACCATTTGAAGTTTCCGCATCATTTTCAAAGGTAGCCCTACATAGAGCTTATTACAGTAGTGTCTAATCTCAAGACTACAAGCACATGGACTAGAGTAGTGAGCACCCCGACATCAAGATAGGGACGCAGCTCAGCAATCCACCAGAGAAGGAAATAGGTAGAACGGACCACTGATGTCACCTGGGTTTCCATGGTAAACACCAAATCCAGATGGACCCCCAAGCTGTGAACCTCACTCTTCATTGTGAGGTTTACTCCCCCAAAAGAGGGAGCTTTCCAAACCACCAATGGTGGGACCACCCACCCTCAGGACCTCCATCTTGTCTGGGTTCAGCCCCAGTCCATTCTCCTGCATCTATTGTAGTACAGTGGGGTCTCGACTTAAGAACTTAATCCGTATTGGAAGGTGGTTCTCAAGTCGAAAAGTTCTTAAGTCGAATCTGCATTTCCCATAGGAACGCATTGAAAACCATTTAATCCGTATCTGCTCTTTTCTGTCCATAGAAACTAATGGGAAGCTGCTATTCTGCCTTCTGCCACTAGAGGGGGATATTTTCTTTCTTTTTTCCCCTTAGGTTCAGGGAAGGCAGGGAACACTACAGGCAGCACTTTAGAACTC